AAACATTACTCTAATAATTTCAATCTGTTTAAAAAAATATTTTAATAATAATTAATATTTTATAATTTAATATAAATTATATTATAATATAAAAAACCAAACTTACCTAAATACTCAAATACCTATACTTAGCTATAAAAGGAATCCATCATTATGAGATTTTTACATGATACAAGAAAACAAAGAAAAATATGGGCAGTCCAACCTTATGCAATCCTTGAAAATATTAGTTTTGGCAAGTAATTTGAGAAACTGCTTTAAAAAATTGACTTTTAATTATATTATATTTTTTTATCAATAATTTAAATAATTCAGTGATAATTTTTAAGAGATCTTGAGTTTAAATCATATAATATGTAAATAAAGTGAAATAAAAAATGAAAGATAATTACCTCACATTATATAACCAACTAAAAAAAATTATATTATGTTTTTCAATTCTACCTAAAAGATATCTTCAAGATTTTATGAGAAGAAAATGTTACTCATTAGTTAATGCAATTTTTATAATAATAAATTCGGACAATAAATTTTCACAATACACATTGCAAGTTCGGCAGTTTTTGAACCATGATTCGTTTGAGGGTCTAGGGCCACACAATTTTACATTTTTCCTCATAAAAGAAATCCCTTTACTCATAAAAGAAACCCCCTTAAGAAACATCATGGGCAAGGACAAATTGTTGCTTACCGAGTTATTGAACTCACAACCAACCAAATTTACTACTACTTTGTATTATTTATATTCGTCCGCCTAACATTCCCATTACACCAATTGCATCATCTTTATTAGAATGTAGTAATTTTCCACACCCTCTCACCCCACATATATACATATCCATACCCAACTTTTCCATATTGGAAAAAACTCCACTTTACGTTGGTAAATCAATTTTATTATTCCATCATAAAATCAATATCTACTAAAGATTTGCTTCACAAGTGTCACTGCTTATTAATTACAAAAGTTTTTGAACCCAATAATAGCTTACAGCTGGTTGGGATATTTCTCATGTAAATATTTCTTCATAAGGAAAAAGGAAAAATCAAGTAATTTCAATATATCTAACTATAATTATTAAATATATGAAATATAACATGAGTTGTAAATTTGTCAAATTTATTATATAATTATTATTAAATATTTTAACATTTTAAATAAGGTAGTGCTATTGGGTTAATTTTTTTGACTCACCTTTTTGCATAACTTTTACATGTCATTAAATGAGTATATACATTTAATATCACGAGTCTCACATAAATTAAAAAAATTAATTATTTTAATAATATGTCAAGTTGTTTAAAAAAAACAAAATAATTGTTCCAATAGTATTTTCTTTTTAAATATCAAAACGTCTTAATTTTTCTATTTTTCTTCATCATTTATGAAATAAGAAATATTTTGCTTTTCCTTTCCTTTAGCTACAAAAATATTTTCCTATTCTAGTAATTTCTAAATAATAATCTACAAGTCCATATTTAGTAACGAAGATAATGGAAATAATTAACAGAATTTATTTTATAATACCATATTTATTTACAATATGATGTAATATCAATTTTTGTTGACTCATTTCACTCAATCAAATATATTGATTAATATATAATTGTTCATTTAATATCATACATATAACAATTATCAAC